GCTTTGAAATCCTCCAGAATTACCCCAAGCCTCCCAACCCTCCACAGTTTGGGTTTGGGCTTTGAAGAACAAAGCAGTTCATACTTGGCACATTGTACATATGATGTTCATATTTTGTTCTGAACTAAGACCGTAGTAGCTCAAAATCAAGCAGACCATAGCATTTCATGAGCACATTTGCTGGACATGGAAGGATATGACCTAGGATAATAGCTTCAAACACTGACTGGTGAGTTCAGAATTGGCTTATCAAGACTGGGAGAGCTGGGACCAGCAGTTAGCGTAATGGCTATGTCGCTGGACTCCCATGTAGTCGACCGCAGTTTGAGTCCTGGACCTGGTGGCTTAAACTCATGCCGGGTGTGTGTGTGTGTGTGCCCAAGATCCCAAGAAGAGAATGGAGGGGCCATCCCCCAGGGGGTGATTTCTTGCTTTCTGTCTCTCTGTCTCTGTCTGTCTGTCTGGCGAGCGCACGCGCCCTATAGCAAAAACCTCTCCAAAAAGAAAAAAAGAAAAGAATGGGAGAGCTGAGTGTTGATGTCAGCCCTGCTAATTACTGAGTATATATTCTCCATTCTGTGTCCATCCTTCACCTCTCTAATACCCTCCACCACCCACAGAAAGTACTAATAACATTTTCTTCCCATTGGAGTGCTCTGAATGCAAGTGAAAGCTTTTAAAACAACTGAGGATAAAGGCATGGCATGCATCCAAATTGTTGTTGCACTGGTAAACTTGACGATTCTTTCTGTGGTCATCCAGATAGATTTCACCAAGTGGGGAGTAATTCTTCCGTAGCTGTTGGGTAGGCCCGGTACTATATTTGTACTGGCTTTCCAAGTGTTTCTCCAAGCTGCTGAGTCAGGTGGAATACAATGTAATTGGAGGCTTTGGAGGAAATCCAGGTCCAAGTTTTGTTGTTTTTTTGCTGAGACTTCTGGCTATACTTTTATTAGAGGTAGGCTTGAGAGAGAAAATAAAGGCCATTTAGTGACATTTGAATTTGTGATAAACCACTTTTTTTTTCTTTTTTAGTACTAACATATCCTATGCAATATTGGAAGCATATTTACATTAAAAGTTATTCAAATTTAAATAGGTGCACCGTTCTTACTTGTTTATTTTTTGCCTTTTTTTTTTTTTTTCTCTAGACCTGGCAACTCAACATAGAGGGTAGGGGTTGGGTTTGTGCTTGATGTTGCAGAAATGGAAATGTCACAGTAGTAAAAAACTGCTGCTTCATCAGTAAAATGTTCTCCTTTCTCCAAGTCTGGCAATGGGGGCAGATTCAGGGCTGGAACCAGAAATTCCATGAGTTTACCAGCTTCTGGGGCAGAGGAAGGCTGTGCTGCAGGGGGGTAGGGTGGGGTGAAGGAAAGAACCTTCCTATGTGTCTCTGGGTCTTACTTTTACATGTCTTCCTTTGATGTCCTTTCGTCAATGGCATGATAACTGCTATGATGAATTATTGAAAAAAGCACTTCTAGAAAATGTCCTCGAAGGCAATACTATTTACTTTCTATCTGCCAGCCTTGACTCTGCTATGCTTCTGCATCATCTTCTATTGTATCTGGCATCTGAATTCAAGAGCCTCAACTTCTACTTGACTGATGTTCGCTTTACCATTGTCCTTCCCACATGGCCCTGGGGAAGGGGCTTTGTGCCCTCTCTAAGATCCTGGCTTACGAATGGGTATAGAAGCTTTCTTGTGATTCTGAGGAGCTTATGATTCTGAGGAGATTTGCTGAGGTCCGGCTTTATCTTTGAAATAAGGTTTTACTTTGAGCTCAGGGAAGGCAAAAGGGAAAGGAACACAGAGTAACCAGACCCAGAGATACGATCTGGGGTGAGGATAATTCTCTAGAGAAGTTTGGTTGGTTGCATGTGCCTCTTTTCTATGCCTCTTTTCTAGAAATTCCAATTCAGATAGTCTGGGTCAGGGTCTAGGAATCTGCTTTTTATAAGCATTCCAGGTAATTATGATTTGCTGCAGGGTTGAAATCCTCTAAACCCCATGATTTTAAAGCCCTTTCCAATCCCAGCTGCCTTCATGTTAATCCCACCATCTGGGAGCCTGGGTCTGGCCTTTGACCTTCCGTATTTCCAAGTCCATTCATTCCCAAACTAGTAATTTTTAGAAATAGCCTGGTTTCTGTTGTTATAAAACATGATTCATGAGCCACATTCTAGGAGATTATGATTCACTAGGTCTATGGTGGGACCCCCCCCCCAAATCTGTGTTTTTACACTCTCAGGAATTCTAATGCCAATGGACTCTGGACCACAGTTTGAAGAAACTGGTTTTGACAAAGGAGAGAAAGAAGCTCAGAGTGATGACAGGCCTAAAGCCTGCCTCCTCAGCAACCGTCACTTCTCTTGGGTGACTGACAGCGGGAATGCCCAGGTCTTTTCTGGGAGATTACAGTTTCCTCTGCCCTGACCCAACAGGCTTACCTTGCCCTATATCATCAGACATGAAAATATCTTAGTCACCTGCCTTTCTGTAAGAGGTACTTGCACACAGGGCAGAACATACATCTCATTCCTGCCTGAGAATCAGCTTCATGAAGGTAGGAAGTAGAGTGAGTAAGGTCAAGGGCTCTCAGGGCCTTTACCATTGTCTTGAATACATGAGCCTGGAGAGGGGGCTTTGTGCCCTCTCTAAGATCCTGGAGCCACAGGGTCTGGATTCAAATCCAGTTCCACCCCTCAATACCTAAATACCTATGTATTAAGGATTGGTTCGTTGGTTCTCATTCACTTTGCATGAGAATTTGACCTTCACTTAACTTTGTGTCTTATTTCTGGGAACCTGATAAAAGAAGTATGTCAAACTGCATTCAGGCAACATTGCTTATGATAAAAATGACGTCTTGATAAAAATGGACTGGGAGACCTTCTCTTATCAGATAGGAGGCCATTCCTGGTGCATCCCTCAGTACAGTGGCTCCTTTCACTGACCTGTGCCTAATGGGGACCCTGGAAATGATGCCGTGGAATTGTTAAGAACAATAGTGGCTTCTGTGAGGCGTTAAACCAGGGTGGTTTCTGTACCTGCCTTCTCTTGTTCCTTAGCCATCACCTTGGGCACCAAAGAGAATAGCGTCTGGATGGCTGTGTGATTGGGGTTCTATAGATTGGATCCATTGAAGACGAACTCCTGAGTGCCCTGCCTGCAGGCTTTGTGTCTTGTCCTTCCAACGACACCCATGTGAGCCCCAATGTTTAGTTGAAACTGTATTTGTTTTTTAACTGCATTTTTCTCATCTATGAAAAGAGATGACAATACTACCTACCTTCTAGAGTTGTTAAAAAGATTGTAACGTGTTTAGAATGATGTCTAGTACTTAAGTATATTTTGCTACCTTGGATCATCATCTCCATCAATCATATTGATGGGTGTCCTGGCCTGCGGGACCGTGGAACAGGTTCCTTGGGGGAGGGAGTGAGAGATGGGACAAACACACGCACACACACTACCAGGTGCTGATCAAGTCGTCGTCTTCTGTCTACTTTCGTTTATTCAGGAAAAATGGCGAGTTATATACAGCTGGTGGGAACCAATTGGTTGCCCGAAATGCAAATGAAATACAACAGCATAAACCAATCATTGATGTGGGTGGATCTCTCCCGTTGCCTAGAAACCCAATCACTTCCGGGGAGAACGGTTGGTCACATGATTTCTGAGAAACGATTTGCTCAGTGAGGAAGTGAAGCCTAATGGTTTCAAGATGGCGGATAGCTCAAGATGGCTTCCGTATGCAGTGCTCGCCACAGATGGGAGGTCAGAAAGCCTGTTTTCCTTTGGGTCAAGTCCAAGTCCAATCTCATCTTGACTACTCTTAACAGTTTGTTGGATGGCCTTGCATACATTACTGTATAATCTAAGGACATGGATTCCCTTTTTTTTTTTTTTTTTTTTTTAGGTTTTTGCCATAGACACGGTGTGTGTGCTTGTTGGAGAAAGACAGAGAGAAGGAAAGTGAGAAATTGCTCCCCTCAGTGGAGATAGCTATGTCACAGGCCTTTCTCCTCAAGTCTATCTTAGGATTTTGGCCATGCACACACATGCTATTGGCATGATTTTCAAGCCACTGGGTCTGGACTTGAGACATGATCAGCTGCATGGAAGTCTAGCACCTTAACCACCACATACTACCTGCTGGCTCTATGATTTTTGTTTGTTTGTTTTTTGTTTTGTTTTGTTTATTTAAAGATTCTTTCTTCCATGTTGACAGAGAGAGAGAAAGAGAGCGAACCTCCAATAGGGTCCTGATGCTATGATCTGCCCCCCAGCATCAGCCAGTCCTAGATCATGGGTATGGGCACACCCAAGGAGGTCTTTGGATGTAAACATGGAACCTTCTGGTGTAGGATTGACTCACATAATGTCATGTTTTACTGTTGGGCCACTGTCTAGCAGTACATTCTAGTGCTTTATTTATTTGTTGAGTTGATGCAGTGGGAGAGTCAACTATTCACCCTTTAGCATCTCTTCTGTGTGATGTTGTGTGATGTGGACTCAGAGAAGAAAGTTGGAGGAGAAATGGAATAAGAGGAGAGAAACTACCTGCAGAGGAATGGTGTCAAGGGTCACGAGTCTGGAGCAGTCTACAGAAGGGGGAGGCTTTGGGGGAGGGGGGGGCAATTGTCCCACTGACCCCCTGGATCTAGCTAAAGCTTAAGAAGCATGTAGATGATTCCACTAGAAGCAATACTTTATAGAGCCTTTTTTTCCAGGGAGGTTAAACAGACTAGAGTGCAAAGTTGTGTAGCTAAGGAAAGGTTAAGATGGCTATTTCTAGTGGTTTTGAGGTATTTCTTTGAGAAAAACCGCAGAATAGTCTCAGAACTCCCTGGAGCTTGCCTTTCTGATGCCACTCAGAGTGGCAGTGGGGATGAGGATGACTGACCTCCCTAACACTGAGGGGAGAAGTTACCGATAGCAGTGACCCCAGGGGAAGACTGACTGTTATGTTGTTTCTTCCTCCCTCCTTCAGGTCTGAATGCTGGTGCTTTTTATGCCCTGTCTACTCTGCTGAATCGCATGGTGATCTTGCACTACCCGGTAAGGGAGTTTGCGGAGCATGCTGAGGCGGGAGACCGTCTGATTTCTAAGTCTGTCTTGACAAGAGCTGGGATGACAGTTAGCTTGGTTCCCCCAGTTTTAGGCAGTGTGATATGCTGGCATGCTTATGGGACTTGGAGGGAGATGGCTCTGGGTCTTGGCACCAGCTTTGGTAGGAATAAATTGTGTGATGGTGTGACAAGCTAGTTAGCATCTTAGAGTGCACATTCTCTTTTTTTGTGAAAGAAGCTTAATTAACTTCTTACAAGATTACTTTTAGGGTTAGAGAGTAAATAATGTCACTTTCTCACTTTCTCTCTCATGAGTGCACATGTCCTAGAGCAAATTAAAAGAATAATAACAATAAATAAAATTGAATAAATAATTCTTATATACATTAATATCATACTTATTTTATATGACACATTAAAAAGTACATTCTGTGGTGTCTGGCAAAACAGTTTGTAAATACATACACACACATGCACACACACGCACACACACATATATACACACAATTATATTAATCTCATATAAAATATGAGCAAGCTTTAATTTTGAACTCTTAGTTGCTCAACTGAAAGCATTTAAATCATGTTTTCATGGGACCAGCAGATGGCGTAATGGCTACGTCGCTGGACTCCCATGTAGTTGACCACAGTTCGAGTCCTGGCCCTGGTGACTTAAACTCACATTGGGCATGTGTGCGTGTGTGCCCAAGATCCCGAGAGGAGAATGGAGGGGAAGGGACTATGGTGTGAGCATCCCCACTGAGGGGTGATTTCTCGCTTTCTGTCTCTCTCTGTCTTTCTGACAAACACACGTGCCCTATAGTAAAAACCTCTCAAAAAATAAAAATTAAAAAACAAAACAAAACAAAACATGTTTTCAGAACCAGTGAGGACTGGATGCTGAGAATGGGATATTTAGTGTCCTGGAGTCAGGAATACCGGGTCCAGCCATCTTTTGAAAGGCTAGGATCTCATACTTGCAGAGGTAGTAGGCTGCTATGGCTAAGAATTCCAGTTTGGAGTTTGAGAGGTTGATTTCAAATTCTAGATCTGTTCTTAATATATGCCTTGTGACCTTGGGGCTTGTAGGTTAACGTCCTTTGTCTCATATTCTTCATATGTAAAATGGGGAAGACTGATTCCTAACCCTGTGGTGGGGAATTGCGAATATTAAAAGAGATAATAATGTACAATCTTAGGCATGGTGTCTGACTCACAGTAAACACTTAAGAATATAGAACGATTATCTTCTCATTCCTTTTGATAATAATAGCTCAAAAAAAAAAAAAAGAAAAGAAAAGAAAAAGAAAACCTAAGGATGGACCATTTAGAAATACATATACATATATAGTGTTTTCCATAAGTTAATTTTCTTTTTAGAGGTTTTTGCCATAGGATGTGGTGCATGTGCTCATCACAGAGAGAGAGACAGAGACAGTGAGAGGAAAAGTGAGCAATCGCCCCTCAGGGGGGATGGCCACACCAGGGCCCTTCTCCATTCTCCTCGTGGGATCTTGGGCATGCAGGCACATGTGTCCAGTGTGATTCTCAAGCTATCAGGTCCAGGACTCAAACCACAGTCAGCCATGTGAGAGTACAACAACATAACCACTATGCCATCTGCTGGCACTCCCATTACTTAAAGTTTTGTTAAGCTTATTTATTTGTTTCTTCTATGAACACAACCAAGAAAGAGAGAGAGAGAAAGAGAGGACCTCCAACAGGGCTTCAACACCACATTCCACCTCTAGTCTTCAGCCAGCTCTGGATTATAGGCAGGTTTGTGCCCAGAATATGCAGTGAAGTTGCTGGACTTGAACCAGGAGCTTTGCTGTGGAATTAATCTCACAGAGTATTACATTTATTACTCTGCAATGGTCTGGTCCCAAGGATTTAATTAATTAATTAATGTATTTATTGCTAAAGGATGTGTGTACTCACCGAGGAGAGGTAAGAGATAGAGAGGAGAGAGAGAAAGTGAGACAGCACATTCTCAAGGGAGAATGGTCATGCTATAATTCCTTCTACTCCATTTTTCTTTTCTAGATTTTGGGCACATGCATATGCATGCGTGCACAAACACATACACACACACAGAAGCTGGGTGTGTTTTTTCAAGCCACTGGATCCAGGGCTTGAAAAATGTGTCATTAGCCATGGTGGATCCAGCTGCCTTAACTATGACACAAATGGCGGACCCATTTTTTCTAGTGATTCTAAAGACAGGGTTTGGTTCTTGCCTGTCAGCCCAGCATCTAGTTGTCATGTATACACATCATCCAGGAGTTATGTTGCTGGAAGGAGCCACTTACGGGGTTTTCTACTCCCTGGCAGCTTCTTACAGGCCATTTCGTCCTGATACTTTTCTGAAGACTGACTCTAATGGAGCCTGAATTACGTGCCTTTACCCCTGTACCCCATGGTGACGGCGCTCTGTCTTGTGTCTTGTCTGATCACTGAGTTATCTTTGGGGCTGTGGTTTCCCCAGGGGGAAGAAGTGAATGCTGGAAGAATTGGCCTGACCATCGTCATTGCAGGAAT